AGGGAGCGGCGGGCAAGGCGCGGGGGGCCGCGGATCCCCGCTGGGTCCCCGATCCGGGCCTGACTCCGGCCCCCGCTCGGTTGCAGGCGCGGCGGCAGAATGACACGATGGACGCGGGCTGYCCCCGGCTCCCAGACACCGTCCTGTTCGAGATCTTCCTGTACCTGGACCACGCCGACGTGCTCTCGGTGGGGCTCGTCTGCCAGCAGTGGCGCGCCGTGGCCCGCGACGAATTCCTGTGGAAGGAGCTTTTCTATCGCTACTACCGCGTGTCCCGGGATGTGCCGCGGCACCCAGGTGCGCTCCGGGSCGCGGGGCAGATCTCGGGGAGCTGCGCCTGCCCTGAGCCCGGCACSGAGACTCCGCTCCCCCCGCTCTGCCTTCTGCCTTTTGCCCGTGTCGGGCTGGTGGAGCCCCTGAACCATGTCCCCTCAGCTGCGTGACAGTGTCATGGGCTGAGATGTGCATGGGAAGGGCTCCAGTACAGCCCAGACCCTTCAGAAACGGGGTTCAAAAGGACTGAAAATGCTTTGCGTTTTCTTTCTTTTCACAGAAAGGAGGTTTCTGAGCTCTCTAGGCAGGTGCTCTCTGGAGCTGCCCAGGGAGATCTTGGGAGCCACATTGAGTTACCACATACTGCTGCATCCCAGCCTGCATGGGATCTGTGGAATCACTGCTGGCTTGGCCTGCCTGGGTCTTGGCAGCCCCTCTGCTGCAGCTGTGCCCCATCTCCAACTGGACCAAGCACTGCCACAAGCACCAATGGCTGTTCCGAGGGTCCTGGGGGCCGGGCTGTGTGAATGGGGGACACCTGTGCTTGTCTGGGGGACACCTGTGCTTGTGTGGGGGACGTGTGGCCCTGTTACAGGACTGGGGGCATGTGCTGAGTCAGCAGCTGCCGTACTTTCCCGGGGCAGGTTGGACCTGATCTGGGCTCACAGCAGGGGCTGACTGACACAGGGCAGGGCTGTCCCTGGCTGAGCTGTCAGAGGGCTCAGGGGTGGCAGTTGTGTGCTCCCTGCTGAGCATCCAGTGCTGGAAGCAGTTTGGTGCAGTCTGGAGGGGTGACCCAGCTCTGTCACACCAGCTGGGACYGGCCTTGGGGACCTGGCAGCAGAAGTCTTTGCTGCCAGGGTGGGGTTTCTCTCTGAGCAGCCCATTCTTGGTGTGTTGTAGGGCATGGGAGGGCTGTGGAGGGGGCTCCCAGCTGTGGGTGAGGGAATTGGATCYTGGATCATGAGTTGCAGTGGCTACAGAAGGGCAGGAAGAAATGCCAAGGAAGAAAATTCCAAGGATCAGGCAGTGGGAGCTGATCTCCTTGCAGTAGGAGCACCAGTGCAGAAGGGCTCTGGGAGGAGGTGGGATGTGGATGGGATTCCTCCAGGCTGTGTGACTTCCCTCATRCAAACCCTGGGAGCTCCATGGGGCTGAGGACATTCTCTTTAGGGTTTATCTGAAGCCCTTTGACCAGGCTCTTTCCCTCCCAGCCTAATGGACCTGCTTAGTCAGCTGCCGGCCCTGTTCTTGAGCACTAATTAGGATCAAGCAGTCAGTGTAACTCAGTWACACATTCAGGCACCACCCTGGCTGCTGGAGCTGTGGGCACCCTGCACAAGGCAGCAGAGACAGCTGGCATGTGTGGGAAGGGGCTARAGCACAAGTTTGGGGAATATCCCTGCCAGCCTGCCTTGGGCAGCCCCATGGCTGGAGGAATGGTATCCAGCCAGTCTGTAAGAGGAAATGGGTTTGCTTGGCCAAATGGGGCCTGCCCAGGGTTTCCCTGTGGGATGGACCAGGGATAGGAGGTTCAGAGGGGGCTGAGGTTCCCAGCCTTGAGCAGCACTCGGATGCTCAACCAAGCAGGTTGGTYCCTTGCCTGCAGGAGCGGGTGCCTCTTGACTGCAGTGTGTTCCAAAAAATCCTTCAGTCCTGTTCAGTGTCACTAGGAGAGTTGGCCCTTGTCCATATACATGTTTAATCCTCTTTGCTTCTTTGGGATTTGCTGCTACAAGAAGTCTGTAGGCTGCCTGGCTGGGTCCTTCATTAAAAATCTTTATTTGACTCTTAYTGTCCATCAGGAAGACTCCCATGAGTGTGCCCCAGGCTGTGCTCATCATACTGTGTCCAGCTCATGTTCTTCTCTCTTTTTTTCTAGTCTCTTATGTCATGGACATGGTTTGGCCTGGTCCCAGACTCTTTCTGTGTTAGACAATTTTGTGTTAGACAAGACAGAAATGATCAGTGCAGAGCTGGGTATGGTGAGGAGCAGCTTCCCAGCTTCCCTCTCGTTGCCAGCCTTGTTGGTTTGGTTGTGTTGGAGCACATGTACCTTCTCAGGACTGTTTTGTCCTGAGCAAGGTTTTGGTCTGACAGCCAGCACCTCTGCCTGGGCTGTTCCAGCAGGAGCTGTGCTGGTTTMGAAAGCAGAGGTATGGTGTGCAGCTGTGTGTGTACTGGAACAAAGTGGGTTTTTGTGTAGGAGCAGGGAAGCTACTGAGGAAAACGCTGAGGGCTGGTAGCTGAGCTGCAGCCCTGGGCTGGTACCCCAGCAGAGCTGGGCCAGGACTGGTTTATTAAAGACTGATGCTGTCTGGTTTATTAAAGACTGATGTTTAGCCTGGCTCTGCTTCCCTCCACTCACACTCCTGTGCCATGCCCCTGCTCTGTGCTGCAGGTGCTGTATCCTGGTATGATGAGTTCCAGAGGCTCTACGACACTATCCCTTGTGTGGAGGTGCAGGCCCTGAAGGAGCACAATGACCAAGTTTTGCACCTCAGCTTCTCCCACTCTGGCTGCCTGTTTGCATCTTGCTCCAAAGACTGCACAGTCAAGGTAAAGTRGTAGGCACTCTGCCCAGCCCTTGCAGCCTTGGTCCAGTGGGGCTTAGCTCTGAGAGCAGCCTTTGGGAAGTCTGTGGAGAGGTTTGACCAGATGTCCCTGGATTTGGAGTGGCTCCTGCTGAGTTGTTCTCTAAGCCACAGAACTAATGGCTCTTGCAAGTGTAGCCTTGAGAGCTGTGGATTCCAGCTCCAGCCCGTGTGTGCGTGGTGGTGGCCGAGGTGCTTTGCTTTCCAGGTGCAAATCAGTGCCCTGTTGTGGCCTGGATCTGACAAAGGGTTGGACATCCACTGCAGTGGATCATGTCATGCATGAGTGGTTGTCCTGGGAGGAATCTCTGAGCGTGCTGGAAGCCCAGCACCAKTCGCTGCCTGAACAACCTCTCCTCTGGCCAGTGGAGCAGGAGTTCTCCATTTAGCCCCTCTCCTTTTTCTGTCAGGCAAATGTGGGGACTGGGAGGGAGTTAAATGGGGTTTGTGATACTGTTTGTTTTTCATATCCTGCTGAGTGCTGGTAGAACAGATAAAGCAGAACCTCTCTCAGGCTTCTCAGCAGCCTCCTGGCTGTCCATCTCTCTGTAGATCTGGAGCAATGAGSTGGACATCTCCCTGCAGCACAGCTCCAACATGAGGCCATACAACTGGAGCTATACCCAGTTCTCCCAGTTCAATTCTGATGACTCCCTCCTGCTGGTATCCGGTGTCTTTGTAGGGCCTCACAACTCCTCCTCAGGGGAGATTGCTGTCATCAGCATGGGTAAGTTGGGCTTCCCTGGGGCTCTCTGGGGCATGTGGGTGCTGGGTGAGGCGGTTTCCTTCTTCTTTGTGTGTGCAGTGGCCTTGCTTCAGCTTG